GAATAATTAAAATCACTGTTCTTAGTCTTCCTGCAATTTCTTATAAAATATAAATGGCAAACCATGTCTGGCCTATGTCTCAAGAAATTTTATGAAGATTGAATGAGATAATGTCTCATTTTAAGCTATGAATTCCCACATAAGAATAATTGTAATTTATTTTCTATATATTTGAGGTGACTGTAGAGTGTAAGAAGAGAAATGAAACATCCATTGATTAGCTTATTACTTTTTGCCTGCTTATGTATTTACCATTAGTAAATATTTATTGAACAGAATAGAAAAGAACACAGATTCTGTCAGCTCCTTGGACTTGTGCTTTTTCCTTTAATTGTAACATTGATCATCAAAGATAATTATTATTTTCTTTATTGAGAAACTTGAAATCCAGAAAATGTGATTAGAACAGGGTCATGCAGTTCATGGGAGGCTGAGCTGCTTCCTTGGCTCAGTCTGACCATGAGTAAACCGAGTCATAGCTGAGTATACACACTAGTGACTTTAATACTTAATTTAGGATGTTTTAATAGTAAGGATCCAAAAGTAAGGTTAGTGAGAGAACTCAGTCAGTCAAGTGCTTGCTACACAAGCGTGAGTATCGGGGTTTGATGTCCTAGAACCTGCGTGAAAGGCTGGCTGTGGTGGCACATTTTTATACTCCCAGCACTGGGGAAGTGGAGACAGACTACATCCTTGGCTTACTAGCAGTCAGCTTATATTGATTGTGAGACCCTGTTCAGTGAAAGATTTTCTCCCAAAAAGTCAGGTAGGTGATGACTGATTTATACACTGGTACTTTTGGAGCCACTGTGGGACAGAGAGAGAACAAGAGAGCGAAGCTGTGGACTTGAACACAATTCCACCCAATGTATTAAATTCACTGAGAAGGGTTCCATAGCGCCGTTTCCTAAGTCCCACCTGGGGTTTTGTCATCATTGGGGTTATTTGAGACCCCTTCTCCTCCTTTATATTTAATCAGCTACAGAGGCTCATTTATGATTGGTTCAAGGAACAATCTCTACATGAGACTTAATACCTTTTTTCCCCTGTATTTTAATTCTTGGGTTCCAAAATAGGTCTTTTTCTGAACATGTTAAGCCTCTTGTTTCTTTCCTTTTGACATTTTATGTATTGACTATTAATAACTCCAAGCAGTCTAATTCTTAAAAATACACCAAGTCATGCTGTTTTATGTTAGAGGTTACTGGAGAGGAACCATTGGGGCAGCTTAGAGTGGGTGTTCTTTTGAGCTGCCAACAACAGAGGCAGAGAATGAGGTGGAACTAGGGACTAGAATGTAAGCCCCGTGAAAACTGGAATGAGTTTCTGTTCCAAGACATAAAATAATGCTTAGCAAACATAAAGTGCTCAATGATTATCTACCGAATAATTGATGAATCATCAAAGGGAAGAAGGAGAGTGATTTGGACTTGGAGATCAGAGGGCAATGTTAGGTTGCAAGATTCTGGATATTGTTCAAGGGGAGGTTTAGAAGGCAGAAGGAAGGCAGATGCAATCTATACCCTGGGCCTGTGGAGACAAGCGTGGAAAAGCATGGTTGCATTTAATAGCAGCAGAGACAGAGGAAGTGACAGTAGCTGTCTCAGCGTAGGGAGCCTCAGCTTCTTTTAGAAAGTGATTATTATTTCTTTGGTGGGAAATAGTAGACTAAAAGAACCATTTTTCTTTTTTTTTTGGAGTGAAAGAAAGTACAAGAATGCCTGCCATCTATACCCATTCTAGAACTATCTGGTTATAGACATGAGGTGTGGCTAATGCTAGAGGCCTTTTTAATCTTCCCAACCTGTCCTGTGGAGGACTCTCCAACAAATCTCTTTTAATGTGTGCTCGTGTGTAAGGATGTCAGTTATGAGAGCTTAGACTGTCGCATTAGACTCAAAGCCACCTGTCTCATTTGCCCATAGCAAGCTATATTAAGGAAGAACAGCTTATATCCTGGAACAGAATATCTTCCATTCACTTAAAAATGTGTTATTGTTGTTGTTGTTGTTGTTGTGTGTGTGTGTGTCACAACTCCTGGTTGGAGCACAGAGGACAACTTTGTGGAGTCACTTCTCTCCTTCCATCTTAACATTGGTTCTGTGGATCAATTTCAGGTTGCCACACTTGGGCAGGATCTTTTCCCATTGACTTATCTCTCTCCTGTTATGACTGCTTGAAAATCAGCGAGGTGTGTGCATCATCAGTGTGGTCATCACTGCAGTCGACAACGTGGACCAGTGTGGATTACTGCATACCAGGGACACTGAACGAGCCTCAGAAAAATTCCTTTCAATACGAGGGAAAGTCCTAGATCAAAGCTAAGGAAGTAGTACCGGGTTTCTCAAGAATTCATAAGAGGAAAGAAAAGAAAGCAAGGAAAGGCATCTCACAATAGCAGTTAGAGTCTCAAAGATATTCGCCTTCCTTACTCTGTTCTTTTGCGTCTAGTTTCCCTTCTCACTGGTCTGCTTTTTCAAAGACTGTCATTCATATTGAGGATGTATTATTACACTGGTGAATGAGGCCTGCTGAGTATTTAGTGAATCTTCATGGAGTTTTCAGTAGAGCATCCTGAAGTTTAACCATTCCATTATTTGACCTGTTTAGATTTCCTTTTTGCTTTTGTTTTAGACCGTTCAGCACCTATTTTAATCAATGGAGACATATACAGTCTGTGAGAGATTGTAGGGAGATTAGGGGAGTAAAGCTGTGGCTTCAGTTGGTTTTATAGCCTATGTCTCCAGGAACTCATTGACTACTGCATGGATTTCCATGCTCCTTTCCAGGTGGCAATTGAATGTATGAATTAAGGAAGAAAATTTGCCCTCATTCTGTAGGTGGAGGTGCCAGAGACTCAGACGGGTTGGGCAGCTTGCTGAAGGTCATGAAGGCAAATGTTTCCAAGGCAGGATTTAAATCTGTTCCCTCTGGCTCAGCTCCAGTGTTTCCTCCACTGGGTAGTGATGGTGGCTCCTTGGTCAGAACCCAGTAAGTTGCTTGAGCTGTCTTGGAGCTGGGGCTACTCTTTCTCATTTTGCCCTACCTGCTTTCCTAAAGTTAGACATCCAAGGCACACTTCTTGTTAAATTTGTTCTTAAATGTGATGAAATAGCAAAATAACCCAGTTGATACAAGAAGGGCAGATTTTGTGGGCTAAGTCTGGGCATAGATCCAGGGTGCATTCTCAGAGGACCTTGTAACTGGGGTAATGTCACGTTCTTTTCATTACTAGATGTGAATCTTGTGCATGCTAACCAAGCCTTCTACCACCGAGCTGTATTCCTATTCTTTTATTTTTTCTGATATATGATCCCAGTGTATTCTGCATGCCTAACTAAACTTAATTTGTAGCCTAGTCAGGCCTTGAACTTGCAATCTTACTTCTCAGTCTCTTGAATAAATGGGACGACAGGTGTGAGCTCCAGTCCTGGTGTGGAGTTTCTTACAATGTATGGAACAAGAGATCATGCTTGTAAGCTTATGATTTTGGTTACTTCAATGTCTTTGAATAACAGTTTTCTCATCGGGCAATCAGTGACAATAAAGTTGTGTGTACTCAGTGTGATATGGTGTGGAATAAAAAAGGAACAGTGACAAAGTCTCCAGGGAGCTTTTGTACAAACATAGTCCTTAATGCATCTTAACTACTGTGCATCTACAACAGGAGACGAACCTCTTCATTAGCATCTTAGGTCATCATTAAGATGTGGAACATATGTACACAGAGTTTGGTTTTAGGCTGGGAAAGATGGTTATTTGGGTGTTGTTGCTGTGAGAATAAAGGAAGCAATGTGAGAAAATAACCTTCACGTTCATGCAAGAGCTACTACTAACAAATTGCAGTCTGATGAGGGAACACACAGAAGCCTAGGCTAAGAAATGAGATTCCCTGACTAATAATAAGGGTTCTGGCACATCTCAGTGCATCACTGAGCAGGGTCAGCTATACTTTCTGATCAAGGCTAAGATGAATGATAAGAATAACAGGCATACAGAAGTGAAAAGAATGCAAAAACTAAGACTTATTGACATTTAAAAAAACACAGTGACTTACATCTATCTAGCTGATAAACTATGCTAATTAAGTGTCACAAGCTCTCCATGAAGGAGGCAACATCAGTAACATTTTGTGGATGAGAAAACTAATGTCATAGGATACTAAGTAGTACTAAAGAGTCTTATAGATGGGTAATGTCTATAATTCAACATTTGATTGATAATGCACTGTCTGGAAAGCCATGGAAAATGGGTTTAGAATAATGATTGAATTTAAAGTTTCTAGTAGGGCTGTGCATAGAAGGGTTTAGGAGCCCTCCAGACCAGACTGCTCAACATGTCTTGGTACTGAACATCAACTTTGGGCTCTGGAGAAGTGGTGGTGACCAATAAGGCAGATGTTTGCTATCTTGATCCTTCTATACCTTCTCATTTTATAGAAAACCAATATTAAGGGTTTTAATTTCTGGGGTCAACCATCTCCCAAGCCTGTTTTTAGAAAACTTTCACAATGGAAGACACCAACCAATCAACCAACCAACCAGCCAATAATAGAAAAACAAAAACAAAAAACCAAAAAAAAAAACCCAAAAAAACCAAACAAACGAACAAAGAAAAGCAAGAAGGAATATATTTGTTGGCATCTGGGTCTGATGAAGGTGTAGCATAGAAGTATGAGTGTTAGAAAATTCTTAGAACTCATCAACTTATAGCACAGAAAGGGTTTCAAACTCAGGGATGTATGAGACCCCCAACCACAGACTAACAAAACAGTGGGTTTGGGATAGAAGCTGAGACTCTTCATGTTCATGGATGGATGGATGCTGGTATGTTGAAGAGACTGTTATTAACTTTTCCTTGACCATCAGTCTGACTCCCTTTTAAATGAAGTGAATTATTCAAACATGCATATATTCAAAGATCCGGGAGCCTCTGTCTGCCACCTTCATGGGATTTGTTAGTAAGAATTTCTGAAAATTGCATCACCATTTATTTAATTAGTACTTGTTTTGGCAGCACTTTTACTAAAATTGGGAATACACGGAGAAGATCAGCACAGCCCTGCACAATGATGACACGGAACTACTGCACGCAATCCATTGCTTCAGAACTCTTTTACACCGTTAGTTGAAATGTAAAACGGTGTAATGATATGGGAAATGATATGAAGGTTCCTCAGAAAGTCAACAAGAACCACCAAATTATCTGGCATTCACACCTTGGGTATGCATAATAAATTCAGATCAGTATTCCGAAAGGGCATATGTCTCCCCATGTTTACTGTACCATTCTTCACAATAGCCGGAAGGTGGAAGTAGCAAATGTCCATTGGTGGATGGGATGGATAAATAAAGAAATGTCTTATACATACATTGGACTGTTATTCACATCTTAAAAATTACGTGGTGTGTGTGTGTGTGTGTGTGTGTGTGTGTGTGTGTGTGTGTGTATGTGTGTATACCCGGAGAAGCCAAAAGAGGTCTCAGATTTCATAAAGCTGCCATTACAGATGGCTGTGAGCCACCTGATGTGAGTACTAGGAACTGAATTCTGCTCTTGCAAAGGACCACCAAGCACTCTTAATCATTGAGCCATCCAGCCCCCCCCCCCAAGTACTTTTTATAAAGTTTTGGTGATGAGTCCAATTTGAGGTGCAGATCTTGTCTGTGATGTGACCTGTGAGTAAGGATTTCTGAAAGCTCCTCAGATGGCAGTCATGGTTGTCAGACATTGCTGGATCAGTGGTTTGCAACTTATGGGAAATTCTAAAAATGTCTTTGAGCATCCTGTCAAACTCTATACACTCAGGAAGCTTTTGCGTTTTTCTCTCGATTCCCTGGATAAGTCTGATTACTGCTATCTCCCTTCCTCTTACTAATTTGAAAATTATAGCATTCATGATTCTTAATGCTTTTCAGATCAAATATGCATGTCTCTCAGTTTTAGAAAGTTACAGTCATCATCTGCCGAATGCATGTGATCAGAGTTCCTTTTTAGCCTGGCGACACATTCCTAACTTTGGCCACCTATGTAATCATTGCTCTCCTATCTTTTTCAGTCCTCAGATGGAAACAAGGCATGGAGCTTAACATTAAATTGCCAAAGGTCTGTCATTTTGTTTGGGCATTAAGTTTGAGAGTGCATGGCCTATTTAGAGGATGAGTTGAAGGACCAAACGTCAAAGTTTCATTCCAAATGAATATTTGTGTGGAGGGATTAGCTCCTGTCAAGGGTGGTTTGCCCTGAATTTCTAAAAGTTGGTGTTGTTAAAGGGTGGATGGACAATCCCAAGGAATTAACTGCAGTGTCAGGGCATGGAAAACGGCTCCCCCAAAGCCACCCATCGAGAGCCAATTTAGATTTTTGTGAGATCAGAGGTTTGGCAGCGGAGAAGACAAGGACTTGCCAACCCAATGCTGTTTAATATTAATTAAACCTAATATAACTCAGTATCTGTTTCTCAGCTATTCCCAGGCAGAATACCAGAGAATAAAAAAAATCTGTGATCATATCATATATAAGTTGTATAATCATAAATTTATTCATAATTACATATTCATATGTTATAATATGTTATTATATATTCTAGACTTCCGAGTATTTTTTTGAGTAACTGAAGAAGCTGAATGGGTGCCCCGAGTCACTGATCTCTATGAGGTAATATCCACATGAAAAGGTCCTGGTGCTGGTGTTATACATACAAATTTTCAGTACCCCCAAGAAAGCTAAAACAGTGCTGTGTGGCCTGCACATTAGGCATTAGGGAGTGGGAGCAATTAAACTTGGGACGGGGTTTGCATGGTGACATTGTGAAGGAGATGTGTGGCAAACTGAGACACATTTCCTGAGATGGGGAGATGTGAAGGTACCCAGTAGCTCTCAAAGGACAAACAACGTCAGAACATGGGCATCTTCCCTTTTGAGAAGATGCTCATACCTGACATTTGTCTGAAATGCTTGTAATATTACAATGGGACAAGAAGCATTCAGTTCCTATTGAGCACTCCTATTTCTTTCAAACTTCATGTTTCTAACATTTCGATAATGAAGCATCATTAAACTGTATATGAAATTAAATTATACCTCCCCAAATAGACTATAGCCGATACTGGCACTGTTATTATGTGGAAGATTAGATAGTGGAACCTGGGCACGTGTTATGCTCTGAAATGTTCCATAGATTTCAGTTTTCATTAGGTATAAAATAAGGGTAAATATATATTTCAAAAATCAGGTTTATTGATGACTGTGGGGGAGAGTTTGGAAAGCATGTGGTCTTCAGACCTAGGAATATGGCGGCATAAGAACTGTGTAGGAGAAGAGCTGCGGAGAGGGTTCAGTAAGATGGCTCTCTTTGGCAAGCATGAGGACTGTCGTTTGAATCCCAGGAACCTACATAAAAAGCTGTTTATGCCTATAACACCAGCATTTAGAGGCAGAAACAGGAGAATCAGAGAGCATGTTGACCAGCTAGCATGGATGGGATGTAGAGTTTCTGGTTTAGTAAGAGACTCTGTTTCAAGGCAAAAGGCAGAGAACCATTGAAGAAGATGCCTGATACCCTATGCACACAGTCATACATTCATGTGTTAGACACACACTCATGTATAACACACACACACACACGCACACACGCACGCACACATGCACACTCCAAAAATGAAAAGCCAAACACAAACAAAATTAGAAATTAGGAATTAGGATGCTTCCAACCAGTAGGGCAAAACCAAAGTTGTACTAAGTACCCCCACAGAAACTACCAAAAACTAGACAAAATATGTAATTCAATGAATTAGAAAACACTGGACACTGGGTAATAAAAGACAGCAGTTCCTGAGAGATAAGAAGCAAATGATATGAATCCTACAGTTGAATCAGCATAGTGTGCAGACTGTGTTCTTGGCTACCACTAATATGTTGAGCTTGGTGCTTTCCTTACACCGAGGAAATGGCCTTGAGAATCTGAGGAGACCACAGCAGTGAGTGTTTATAGGAGTAAAACTGGATCAGAGAGAGCAGTACCCAGAAAGAACCTTCAGTACTGCAGAGGATCTCATCTCTGGCCCTGAGCTGAGTTCAGCTCAGAGCACACATGTGAGAAAAATGCACAGAGGTGACGAAAACACATCCACTAACAAACAAACAAACAAACAAACAAAAAACAGCAAAAGGGGGATCTCAATGCCTTGCAAGGCATACATGAAAAAAATTTATCTAAGTACAGAGATGGGATTATTTGCTCTTAAGATCAGGACTAGCAAGCTCCCAGGACCACCTGTATCCACTCCTCAGTGCTGAGCTGATAGGCACTTGCAGCCATGACTGATAATTTATATGCATGCTGGAGATTTGAACACAAGCTCCCATGCGTGTCCAGAAAGTGCTTTTATATCTCCTCTACCTGAGGACCTCAATTTCTTGATGCTTACAAATAAATAAGTATTGTTTTCACCTTATCTTTATTCATTGTGAGGATTAATGTATGTAAGTATGCTGTATAAGGGCAAAGGCTATTTAGTTCTAAAACAGACATATTATATCTATCTATCTATCTATCTATCTATCTATCTATCTATCTATCTTCTATCTCTTTATCTATCTCTGTGCATATATATATATATATTTCACAGGGATAAAATATGTATCACATATTTATCATAGTGTATATTACACATTCTTCAAAAATGTGAAAATTACTGAAATATTACCAGTTTTCAAGAAAAAGTGTGCCCAAGGATGGCCACTTGTCAGGTGACTTTTTTAGGCCTGAGTTTTTGGCAATCTCTTAATATAGGAGAGCAATTTGTATGGCAGATGGAGACATAATCAAGTTGTTTAGTAGTTAATATTCTTTGATTTAGTTTTTAAAAATTATTTGATTATTATCCGTGTGTGTACGTATGTGCTGTAGTGTGCATGTGGAGGTCAGAGAACATCTTTGTGGAATTATTTCTCTCCTTCCACATTTACTTGAGTTCAGAGGTTGAACTCAGATTGCAGGTTTGTCTGGCACTTTTACCCACTAAGCAATCCTGCTGACTCTGTGATTCATATTCTTAACCAAAGTTTGTACTATAATTTCTTTTCGCTTCATAGGTGTTTGGGAGAAAAATAAAAGTATCTGAAGATTATGAAGTTTGAAGTATGACACTTAGATCAAGAATTTTAAAATATTAATAAAAACTATACATGGGTTTCAGGCCCTCCCTAAACAAAACCCAACACTGTTTACAACAATGCTTTTCTTTACAATATAGAGGAGAAAAAAAGTATTCCCGTCTGTTGGGAATAATTTAAGCCCTGCAGTTTGTATTGTTTCCAATATTGCCATGGTTACCTGGAGGCTCAGAGCCAATTGTGGAGCACAATCTTAACGGCTCTAAAATCTCCATCCGTTTTCCATCTGATTTGTCTTTCCTTTGATGCTCTTTGTTGCTTTTTTTTTTTTTTTAAAGAAAATTAACTTTCTAGTAAGCTTCCCGTTTCCTTTTGAGAAGAGAGAAAAAGAAAAACAACGACATTCATATATCATCCGACTGGATGTGCCCGTGTCAACATATTTGCTTATTTACCCATATGGTGTTTATCTGTCCCATCCTGGCTCCATCTTCATTCACACTTATGAACAACTGAGGCAGAGTTTACGTAAGCCGCGCCTGATACTGTAATACCCAGCACCGAGGGTGCAGATGAGTCTGTCTCAATGTGTGTCTACCCCGTTTCCATGGACTCTTATTCCATAGAAACTTTAACTTGAAAGAGAATCCATCCTTTTTTGGTAAAGGAGGATGAGGCGTTAGCTAATTAGATTCCTCATAGGCCTCCCTCCTGAAGCAGTACTACTAAATCCAGCGATAAGTTGTCTTGGCAACCGCTTTGGCGACTGCTACCAGCTTGCTTTTACAGCTTGTGAATAAAGATGTTTGAGAATGTATAAATTGCCAGCTGAGGTCCAACTGTCTCCCACCCCTTCCAAAGAAGCTGGACACTAATTGATAACACAGTACAATGCACTTTTGTTTGTGTGTGAATAATAAAGCCACATGCACAGCTCAGCCTTTGGACGATTACATATATTATTCATGCTTCCAAAAAGTAATAAAGAT